AAAAAAAACTTTTAACTTTTTTAAAAACAAATGCAGTTTATATGTTTTTAATATTATTTAAAAATAAAAAAGTAAGATCGATTTTCTTGAAACCCGACACAAGTCGCTTCATGATTAATATAAGATATTATTTATAAAGCACCAAATTTATAAAATTATTAATAAAGTTGTTTATAAAAAAGCTTTTCTAAAACTGATGTTCAATATTAGTTTAAAATTTTTTGAATCAATAATATATTAGGATATTGATCGGTAATTTTTTATACAATTATAGCATCAATAATATTTACATTACGACAAATTTATGAAATACCCTAAAATTTGAAAATTTTGACCGCTAAGTAAACAATAATGATTTTTGACCGAAATAACTACTATCTCCGGGTTAGTAATTCATGTAATTCATTTTACAAATGTAAAACATAAATTATTCAATAAAGACCGAGGCCAGGCCTCACTCTTAAAAAAAAATAAATAAATAAATAGAAAAAAGTAATATACTAAAAATAGACTATTTCACTGTTACGTGATCATTTACAAATTTTCAAAGGTAAGTTTGTTAAGTTAGTGCCTATATTAGAATTAAAATTAGGTGATTATATAGTAAAATTCACAAGGAAATCTTTTTATTAGAGCAAAAAAGGGATTTCTTATGCAAATTTTCGCAAAATGGGCGATTTTAACAAAACCAACGTTTGTTATGAATTTTGACAGCGATGTATGAGATAGTTTCGCTTGCGATGACCCAAATTTAACCATTATGTACGTAAGCACCAAAAATGATACCTTTTCGTCGGAAACTTTCTCCTACAATGTATCACATTTATGTCTTCAACATTCTTATAGAGATACTAGAGTAGTTGTTTGTAGCTTTCCTCGGTATACCCTCGTGGCTAAAATTTTATCTGGCTGAATTAAATCTCTGAAATTAGAACATGGAAGTATATGATACAATTAAAATTTAACCTTAAACGGAATACTTAATTTATTTGAACATCATTAGTAGATTTGTTTCTGTAGCAAAGAAAAATGCAAATCAGTGTAAATTATTTTTTTAATTAAAATTTTTTTAAAATTTGTATATTTTTAGCTTATTAGTAAGTTAAATTTTTTATTTTATAACAGTCACAGGACATGTCCTTTTTCAGGGGTTTCAAATGCTGTTACTTAGAAATTATAAAATTCTGTTATGCTTTAATAAGATGTTAGGAAAATAAAAAAGATAAGCCAATAAAATTTTTATTAATACATGAGTTAGCGTTACAATAAGAAAATGAAATATTGAATATTACATATATTGAAGACTGGTAAGATCAGTTTGTAATAAATGAATTTTATAGTATGATAATTTAAATAATTTGATTAAAGATAAAAACAAAAATAATCAACCCAATTACAAAATTGAATCCAGATAATCCATTATAAAAAGAACTTGATGATGAAACCTTAGTAACAGTAGGCTGCGCACTACCAGGACTTTTAATATTTGAGATTTAAAAAAATATATATAAATGAATATTGTGCATTTTCCATGAAAACACAGAATAAGAAAAATTACCTGTTTATACTTGGTGGTGATGGCATAGATGGTGATTTTTCTGATAAAGATGGCGTTAATGAAGATGGTGGTTTTTCTGATAAAGATGTCGTTAATGAAGATGGAGCTGATGATGAATAAGATGACGAATCTGATGTTTGTAAATTTGATGTCGGTTGTGATGATATTATTGGTGTCGGCGATTCTGATTGTGGCGTTCCTGATGATGGCAGTTCTGATAATTGCGATGTTGGCGTTGGTCCTGGTGGCGCTGGTTGTTGTTCTGATATATATGTTACAAAAGTTTTATATATAGTAGTTACGGTATGTACAATGGATGTATGATTTGTAACCCAGCAGAAAAATCCAACTTTTTGTTGTATTAATGTATCGCCTTGTCGTTTTACTAGCATAAATTCTGCAGAACGTGGTACTGCCGTTTTTTCAGGTTTGGATGCTATTTTCCTCGGTTTTGCCCGTTGTTTGTGCGGACGTTGTGATGGATTGTGATGTGATGGTGGATGTGGTGGTGGATCGTGATGTGGTGGTGGATGTGATGGTGGATCGTGATGTGGTGGTGGATGTGGTGGTGGATGTGGTGGTGGATCGTGATGTGGTGGTGGATCGTGATGTGGTGGATGTGGTGGTGGATGTGGTAGTGGATGTGTATAGTGCGACGGTGGTGGGTGATTTGATGTTTTGTGCGGCGGTGGTGGATTGTGCGTGTATGTGTACGTATTCTCACAACATGTTTTGTTTGGTGGTGCTGGTGGTACTTGTTCCTTGCTACAAAATGATGTTGGATTATCGTAACAACATTGTTCTTTGTAAGAAGCATCTTTACACCTGTTCTTATCGTTACAACATGGTTTTTCTGGTTGTTTACAAAATGATAATGGTTTGTCGGTACAACATGGTTCTTTGTAATAATCATCTGCACACCGGTGCATAGCGTTACAACATTTTGGTTGTGGTGTTGGTGAACATGATGTCACTTTAAAATGTGTAGTATATGAGCTTGTAATAACAAATTCTGTAACCAATGTTCTAAATTCTCGTTTTTGTAAAATATTTATGTCAACACGATCATTTGCAACTTCATTGGGATAGATAACTGTAACTATTCCAATGATTCTAAAAAAAATTATCAACATGAATACTTTATAGGTGCGATAAATCATCATTAATTTTTGAATAAGAATAATATGAATTAAGCAATTATATTATTATTATTTTTTTTTTTAAAAAAAAAAAAAACCGACGAACCAAGATATATGACTATGTATATATTTATATAAAATTGAAAAGACAAATTCCAACTTTGATGATATGGCAATACGCGTTTTTCGCAAATGATTTTTCAAGAAAGGAAATGTATGCTTTCGAAGTCTTTTCTTGACAAAAATGGTGCGCAATACTTCTTAATTAAACCGTTGTACAATGCTTATTCTAGATTATCTTATGATATCAAAGTATTATAGAAATGATATGTTGCACAAGCAAACCCGTCCGCTAAATGATATTCTCATTTTAGTACATACACGTTGAATAAAGTTATGATTGCTTATTTTAACTTGATGATTTAATGGAAAACCATTATGATAAATGCAAATCTTTTAGTAGTTAATTCTCTTTATGAAACTACATGGATACTTGTTTAAAGAATAAGCTCTTGTTATAATAAACCGTTTATAGCAAATAAAATTTTTTGTCTCAAATTTATTACAAGCTCAGTTTTTACTTAAAAAAAAAACCATTAGTCTTTATAATGTAGTTATTATGTGGCTGACCAAAACAAATGATAATTTAGTTAGATAATCTTGATATTTAATTACTACCTCTTAAAAATTTTCTCAATGAGTACAATCTTTAAACTGAATGTATTTTCAATTTCTATATTATAATTTTAATTTAATAGTCATCAACTACGCGTTGTAATCTCATGATTAGAAGTCGTAATTACTTCAACGTAAAAAAACCTGTTTTAAAACAGGTCGTAACTAGCGACTACAATATGCTATTCATGATTACACAATGTCCACCTGTTGCACTGCATGATTATCTAATGAAAATCCAGAAATAATATTTATCAATCACATAATAAGTTTAATTCTACGTATTGGTATTGGTTAATAATTTATTCAGATTTTAAACTTTTAGCCATAGCTTAAAAAAGATCAAATTGGATCCAAAACTGGATTCATCCGGTTTACAGGACTGTATAACTGTTAATGATGCCTGACGAAACTATTTTTCAATAACAAAATGATTTCGTTAATGGTTTCGTCTAACGAAACTTTGAAACTACTAAGATTGACGAAACTTGAAGAATCTACGAAACTAATTTGACTAATAAAATATAAAATGCTGTTCTGACATTTTGAGTCTTAAATCTTTTCAAAACTACTGTTTATCATTCATTATGGATAGCATAGTGATTTTTTAATTGGTAATGAATTTTTTACTTTCAATAAATTGTCAGTTGTAAAAAAGTTAGCTCCACAAAAATTAGCAAACTCATACAAACCCAATTTTTTTTAATCTTTACATTTAGGTAAAAATTACATTTTACAAACTTACAATACATGTAATTTCACGTAAGTTTTAGTAACATGGATTTCATGTAAATTTCACACTTGATATATAGTACCAGTACTATGAAAAACTCAGCTAGCATTATTAAACTACAGTAGATTCTGCATAAACTGCACTGATCAAATCGATGTTCATATGATCCAACCAATCATATGAGCGGTATGATCACATTTCTTACAAATTACAAGAAAACTATGTTACCGAAAACTTACGCAAAATTACACAAAATTACGTAAATTTACAACCCTATTTATATTACATTGAATCTGAAACCGATAATTTTTGGCCGAAATTAATTTTTCAATTAACTTTTTAACTTTTTCATTCCAAATCAGAAATTTTTAGAACAATAGGCCCGCACTTAATGGGAGGCAGTCGTTTCATTAGTAAAATTTTTGATTAATTTCAGCCTAACTTTTTGATCATCATTCTTAGTAAAGAATTTGCCGTAGTAATTTTGATGCGGCAGCTAGGTCTAACCTTCATTCAACAGACCTATCGTATACATCCAGATTATTAGTAAATTCATCTGGTAAATCCCGATTAACGTCTCAAAAAAAAATAGAAACTGGGTAGTTATGATAACGGACAAAAAAAATTAACACTATTCCTAAAGGAAATTGTTTTTTTTTTTTTAATTTTTGTTCTATATTTATTATGCCAGAACGCTAAACATTTCATATAAAATTTATGATTCGTCATGCGTTTCGTCATTCGTCAATGACGAAAGTTTCGTCCTTCATTAATAACTGTGGCAATGTTGCGAAAAATAAATGATAAATTTATTGTTTTATTCAATATTCAAATGTAAATCACGATGATGACTATAT